CAGGAAATGTGAAGAGTACTAAGAAGCTTCATGAAGCAGCTCAAATAAATATTAGTAACTTCCTCAGGCCTTGTTAAACAAAAACACGACAGCTATGTTTCCTACGCTAAAAAATGATGCCTTTGCGTTTTCTCGGACTAATGCATTTTTAAAAGTTTCGCTCTCAAACTCTTAACTCTCAATACTCATTTCAGTGCATTGGGAGAAAGGCAGAAAATCACCTCCACTGCTTCAAGTCAAACAGATGCGTTTGTTGCAAGGCAGGCAGGGGGACCTAGAGATGCGTGGGTATTTTCCTTGCCCGGTCCCACATGAACCATCACCCATCGGGTGGCCCCGGCAGCCAAGCACATACCGATGTCCTCCAGGAGGTGGCCGTATAGCCTAATCGTTTCTTTCTGCACAAGCAGGCTTTGCCCATAGATATGGGCTAAATACCTAAAAATAACTAAATAAGATGCATTTCTTCAGACTTGTTTTTTCTTCGCCTTGTCCCAAAAACTGCTCTGGAGGAGGCATGCAGTGGAGTGGTGGTGAAGGCTGCCGGGGCCAGCTTGTCCCACCACCCCGGCACTTGCCCCTCTCTAGGTGCCAGAAGCGCTGGGAAAACGCATCGGGCACAAAGTACCCATGCCACAACCCCCTGCTTATGGCCAATTTTCCCCATAAAAGCCAGGAGAAGGAGTTCATGGGCAGCCTGATCTGCCCAGGCTGCACCTCCCTCCTCTTGTACGCCGTCCGGGTCGAACTGTCGGCTGGGTCTGCTTGGGCTTGCCATTTTTACCCCTTGCAGAAGGGATTTTGAACTCCACCGAGTATTTTGGAGAGTGTGAGAGGCTGAGAGAGCAGTGGCAGGGCCTCGTGCATGTCTCCTCATGTAGCTGGGCGAATGCCCAGTACCACAATCCCCTCCAGAGCCGATGCCGCCATGGGTGTCGAAGGACATGGGGCTGCTGCGTGGGCTTTGGCATGCTGGGGATGCGGCTGGGGCAATGCAACTCATTTGATCAAAGGCCGAAACACATTTAAGTCAAGCCAGCTTTTAACTCACGCAAATAAACCTGATGTCAGTGCCACATCCAGTGAATATTTGCTTTAAGCAACAGTTTTTTTTCCATTTATTAAGATAAACGTATTGAAAACTGGCTTTTTTCTTCCAGAAGTATAACGGCCTCCGCACATCTGAAAGGAAAGCTGCAGTCTGATCCGTGGAAGATAAGCCTGGTTGCTGGCTTGCTTTGGGTGGAAATAATATGTGTGTGGCATGGCACACTGACCAGAGAGACTTCTGCAGACCTCCACGCTGCAACAGCACCCACCTCTCACTTGGGGTGGGAGCAGCCAGGTGGGACCTCCGCCATCTCAGAGGGACCAGGCCAAAGCTCCTGCTCTGCCCAGGACTTGCCTCCGTGCTCCCGGGTTTTGTGTCACGGTTGGGTAAACTCAGCTGTTCTTCTGAGGTCAGCGGTGCATCCACACCAAAGGGCGAACAAAAACCACAGCGAAGCCTTCTCCAGTATTTTTCCTCCTCTGCTCATGCTGTCCCATCAGAGGCATTTCGATAGACCTTTTCACCTCTCGTCGCAAAGTGAGGACACATGGACCCTACATGGGCATAAAGAGGGTCTTGTTCACGAAGCGCTGTGCTGGGGTGCATCACTTCTCTTTGGGAAGCCCCAGTACGATGCAGCATCTTTCTTGCAGCTGTGGGATAAATCCCTGACCAGGGTGTAAACTCTGCAGCTCATCGTCCTGCGTTGGACGTCCTGCGTTGGTATTCAAAAATATCAGAGATGACTAAGCTACCCATCAGAAACTACCTGGCCAGCCTCTCTGCACCTCAGCGGGGAGACGAGACGGAGTATCCAGAAAAATTCCATGTTTTAGGTTGAGTGATGTTTATTTTGCATCTCAGAACTAGTGCCCTCCAAAACAAGGTCCAAGTGATGGATTTCCAACTCTGGCATTTTGACATCATCATCATCATCATTATTATTATTAATTATTATTATTATTACTAATACTATTATTATTAATTATTATAATAAATTTAAATATTATTAAAAACAGCTTTTTCAATTTCTGTATGTACAAAAAACCCCCACCTGCACTAACAGTTTATATACTGCGTTCCAATCAGGATCTAAAATCAATGAGGATCTAAAATAAAACATATTGAACTTTAAACCAAAATGATCACACAAGTAAATTTAATCTGATTTTAATAGCTGTCCTTATTACTTCACTTGAAAGGCTTTTTCACACCTAAAACCTTCTGGAATTATCCTGTCTGAGAAAAAGTGAGAAGCTAACTGGGGAAATGAACCACGCTGCCCGAGTTTTTAGGCGGCAGCAGCCTACGGAGGGCAGACGGTGTGGGGGTCCTGCAAGTCCCCAGATGGGAAAGCTCATAAATTACCCCCCAGCCCTGCAGGTCCCCTCCTGGCTGCCCTTGTTTTGCAACAACAGCAACTTCTACCGCAGGCAGTATTTATTGTGTTAGGAAACGCTAATGTACAATAAATGGACTTTTCAATTGCAAAGCTTTCTTGGGCGCAGTCCTGACTCTACTGTAATTAATGAAAGGTTTTAATTTTCTGACTATCACCTCTTCAGCCCACCAAGCCCGTTTCATTACCTGACTTTCTTGGGTTAACCTGTGCTCGCGAGCGTGCACCACTCTGCCTCGAGAAGTATAGGAAGAGCTGCTGCACGGTAGAAGAACAACCGGGAGGGGGGAAAAAAAAATAAAAGCAAAGTCCAGATGCACATTTCACATGCCCTGGGATCAGCGGTGTGTGACTGCAGTTTATATAGGAAGAGCAAAATCGGATCCAGATCTGGAAACACTTTCAAAGTTCAGGGGGTCTGAGGTGAGGAGAAGTTGGGGGAGGCCTAACTCATCAGTCCTCTGTGCCTGCCTACACCGCAGGTCATATATTTATGCTACCGAGAAGAAATAAAAGCTCCCAAACTGCAAAGCTGTAAAGGGAAAGGGGAGGGGAAAAAAAAAAGGAACACACACAATTTACTTTTAAATGGATGAATAAGGCCTCATTGTTATGAATCCCAGTTTACTTTTCCTGGTCAGGCACTTGAAATTTTATTTATGCTTAATAGACTGCATTTGGCATGTGTAAAGATGACAGAAGCGTGAATTATGAATGACCTTCAACCTATTCAGGAAGTTGTAATAATTGAAATAATAGTGAAAACGCACTCCCCGCGAGCTCGGGCCGGGGCCGCGCGCTCGGCCGCCGCCGCCCACGCGCTTTGAAGTGCCCCGGCCATCCCGCCTGCCCCGGCGAGACCCGCACCGCCCTGTCTGAACCCTCCCTCCGCTCCCGTCCAGTGTGCCCTCCGGCCCTCGGAAAGGTTTAACCAAAGGATGCCGGTTTCGGGGGAAGAAAGTGACGCTTCAGCCGCTGCGTGCGAGCAAAGGCACCAGCTGCTATGCGTGCATCTGTCGTGTTCAGCCCTGAAGAGGAGCTGTATTCCATTGCATCCAACTAAACCCTTTATTCCTGTGTATACGAGAGCTTTGGAAAACATTGCATGTGCCCCAGTGCTGCCTGGGAAATTCAGATTTTAGGGCAGGCAAGACATGCTGCTCAGAGTCGCTGCTGTTTGTACTTTAACCCTCCAGGCGACGTATCGAACTTACAGCTAGCACCACAGGGGAAGGCACTGAGTGACTTTGTCCTGTACCACACTGGTGCAAGCGGGAGGACCCACTCTGCATGGGATGGCGGGAAGGAACAGAAGACCCCAAAGGTGGAGCACACGCCGGTGAAAGCCTGGTGAAGCCCACCAGCTCCCACAGAGCCCTGCAGTGCTGCTCCTGCACCAACATCCAGCGCCCGACGGGCTCCCAGCCTCCGCCACATGCCATGGGTACGTCTACCCCAAGCAAGGCACCGACCCATCTCCCAGCCACCTTTGGAGGCTTGGGTGCACTGGAGGGGAGCACGCCCCAAGCCGGGGCAGGAAAGCGAGCGCCCAGAGAGGCGGCGTGCACACTGCCAACTGGCATTCGCCTCCGTGCTGCTTCGGAGCAAGAGTGGAACTTGCCTGAAAAGCAAAACAAATTAAACGTCCAAAACTAATAATAAGCGTTATGTTCAAGGAGCTCGAACAAAATCAGGATTTATGCTCGCCAGAAAAATGAGAAGGGCGA